TAAAAAACAATGTAATAATAAATAATAAAAGGGGCGAACTCAAAATTTCGCCCCCCCGGCCTTTTGGCGGCTGTTTTGTGTGTGTTGTGTGTTTTTTTTTTTGGGTAAAAATTTGTTTGTTTGTATTCCCCGAAAATCAAAAAGGCCTCCTTTCCCCCCAAAGGGGCCGAGAATCATCAAGACGAAGGAAAAAAAAAAAAAAAAATGCTGTTCCGGTAAAAATTTGCTGAAAACAAACGTTTGGGGGTTTTGGGGGATAAATGCTGATAAATCCTCTTGAAATGCTGGAAAAATTTGGGGGGGGGAAAATAAAATTCACTCACCCAGAGTGACATTGGCCCTTATGTTCCATGGAATTTTTACTACCCTTTTCAAAAATACCACTTTTGGGGGGGGGGTTTTTTAAAATTCAAGAATTTAAAAATCCTTTTTAAAAAAAGTTTGTTTTTATGTTTTATATGGGCCCAAACATATACTTCCGTCCCAAGACGAGTACTGCCCTTATTATAATTAAAACGCATTAAAAAGGGAAAAAATTGATTAACAGGAAAATAAATCGTGTGCATTTAATTTCTAAAAATGGATTTTGGTGAAAACTTTTGTTTTGTTAAAGGAATGGACGGGGGAAAATACTGAGCATCCCAAACTTTGGAAACCCTTTTTTTTAAAAAGAAAATTTGTTTTGATATTTACCCTTTTTAAAATATTTGTCCTTCCCCAGGAACGGTTTTGGGGAAAATAGTGGAGTTCCCCTATATACTGAAGTATTTTCCCAAACCCTTTTAAAGGACTTTGCAGAACCCAAACAACCCAAAATATTTTTTTCTGCAAATTGGTTTTTTCCCCCTGGGCAAATTTTTAACGTTAGAAATTTATTTCCCATTGCAAATCCTTTCCTAAAAGGGGGGTCACCCGGGGGTTTTTTACCGGTTTGGGGAAAACAACGCAAGAAAAATCGCCCCCGCACTCGGATAAAACCACCCCCGGGAAACTTACAAAAACCACGTTCCCAACGCTTAAGCCACAGAAAAATAACCCCCTATTTTGGGAAATACCGTAATGTATTGAAAATACTTTTAAAAAAAAGATCATTTGCCCGGGTTGTAAGAGTTTATTTGGGCCCCTTAAAAAATTGTCTAGGTTAGTGATTCAGCACTTAAATTCCCCTTTTTTCCCCCTAAAAATTACGGGGGTTGAGTCCATCTCCCCGTTCCCCCCCAAGGGGGCAGTCACAACAAACCCCAACCCAAAATTCCCCCCCTTATTTAAAATTTTAGCGGGGGGCCTCATAATACCTGAAAAACCCTTTGGCTACAGTGCCTATGGTTTTAAGTTATGTTTCGTGGGGTAGGTTTTTAAAATTTTGCCAACACAACCCACCTGAAAATTAAAAATCCACAATGCTGAAAATATTTAGATTTTTTAATGAAAGGGCAGTTTTCTTTTTTTTTAAACCCCTGGGGGGTTTTTCAAAGCTACATTGGGGTCCAAATATCTTCGGGTTTTCAGCTGCTCAACGGGCAAGAAAGGAAAGGGTTTTACCTTCCTGCTTGGTTTTTCGTCCTTTACGTGTTCATCTTCGTAGTATACCAGTACCTTTTATGTTACCCTTGCTACTAAATACTTATACTTCTTTGTTTATAACAAATTATTATAAATGACTCAAACTGAATATTTAGGCACGTTCCGTTCCCAACAAAAGCCCTTATTGTCACTGGAAATATATTAAGGCATGTTTTTTATTTTTTATTTTATTTACAGTGACAGGTTTTACACTCTGGGGCTCCGTTGTTTCTGTTGGTGCGGTGTGTACTTTGTATACAGCATTTGTGAGTATTCTACTTACTGTATAGATTTGTTTAAACGTGCAGATAGTGTTTGGGAGCAAATATTTCCGTAGTCCTAGATGCCAAATTTTAGGTGCTCAGGCCCCTTAAGCCAACACAGCCTTTCAAGAAATGAGCCGACGAGAGAAAGTCTTTAAAAAGAAATTTGAAAGCGGGTAAGCGGTTAGCGATTTTCTAGATAAGGACGGCTTATGTGATCCACGTAGTAGGATTTTATGTCAGTAATAGAGGCGTCGATTGCGCATTGGTGATCATAATTATTAAAATAATTGGAGACTGGTTTAATGGGCGCATTGTGATTATCCATATCAGGTTCACTGAAAAGATCTGCCAACTTCTTAAAGTTTTTCCTAGTTTATTCCATTTTGCATTGTTGAATAGCCTGGGATTTGTTTTATTGGCTTGCATCCAGGTTGGGATTGTGTAGTCTCGGGGTGGTCAAAGCTTCAATTAACGGTCCGAATGTGAAAAAACGAAAGGAAGGGAGAATAGGAGTCAGACATCTAAAAAAAAAAAGCAGGTGAAATAGACCAGGTAATATTCAACATTATCTTACAAAAGATCATTTGAAACACAGCGGTTCCAGGCTTATCACTCTGCAAAATACTTTTGATAAGGTGCCGGAGATTATTGCTGTTGGCTGTTGAGTCTTGGATGGCGCAAGCTAAAGACATAATCAGACGTGTGCAAGCTTGATAATATTGGACAAGGATCAACATGTCCGAGCAACCGTCTGACAAACGTAGGGTTCTTATCGCACATAGCCGTGAGTCAGCGATTGCTTCAAAATCAGTTCAACAAATGATTCACGACAATTTCCGCCCAGGTAATCTTATTATCTACACATCTGGCTCTATGGTGAGAGGCAGGCGAAGTGCACAGGGCTTCTTAGCAAAAGCAAATGTACATTGCTTAGTGCAACAAAGCCCGGCATATGATACCCTAGCATCTAGTTTGAGAATGGAGACGGAACAAGTCACCGCAGCCTTTTGTTGGCTAAAGAACTAGTTGTACACACATGTTGTGATTGAAGCCAACGCACAAAGCAAAGTGAAAATGAAGGAGACCTGCATGCTCCATTCAGAGTGGCAAGCATCGGTTCAGACATTCAGGGTAGTTAGCGTCCTTTGGATATTTTTTCCTGGAATGCTGGTGTATTGGGAAAGGAACATGGATATAGACTGACAGGTAAGACACCACTTGGTGGTTAAATGATGCATGACAAGCTCTTGTAAGGGTCTTTTGGAAGCCAGTGCGCAGTCCGGAAGCATAAATGGAGTAGCATGGTCTGAGGAAAAGAAAGCTGTGAGTGACCATGGGATCTGGCCGACACGTAACACTCAGTGTGGGAAGGCGAGACGGATATACAAACAGAAGGTGACAGGTACCGCCCGAACGGCTGTTGGAGATGGTGAAATAGCGCTTATTGGAATGTCCCGAGTGCTATAATGTCGATTCCTATTTCAACATTCAAATAAAGATCAAATTTGTATAACGTGATTGTGGGAAATGATGTAACATCTGCGGACACGTAGTTTTACTGAAGGATGAGGAGGACTCCAGGGACATATTGTAAAGAGTAATCATTTTTTCTTCATTGACCCACAGAACCGCGTGTTTATTAGGTTACCAGTTGCTACTGACTGCCTGAATAGCGCCACCATTCCCTTTTGCTTTCCACGTCTGTTGGTCACGTTAGTGGATCTGGTGTTTACATATTTAGGACCCGTTCAGAAGGTCATATTCTGTATCCAGGTCTTTCTTGGTCTACCTTTTTTCTTGGCATCATGGAAGAACAACTGTACTGGGTGAAAAAAAAAGTGAAAAGGGAGGGGGGGGGGGGGGGGAGGGGGGGGGGGGGGGGGGGGGGGGGGGGGGGGGGGGGTGGGGGGGGGGGGGTGGGGGGGTGGGGGGGGGGGGGGGGTGGACCATCATCGTTGACGTGCCCACCGAATGTTGATTCCCTTTTATAGTGCAGGTAACAAGTTATCTTTGAGAGTTTCATTCTTCCAATAAATATATATATATATATACTCCTTCTACATGCCTATTGTTTTACTTAGTGCTTTGGTACTCGCATGAAAACTAAAGATCAAAACTTGACTATGGTTCCTACGTCGACCCAGCCTTAAATAGGTACCAGGTAATATCCTGAAAAGTAAAGGCGGTTGACGGGATGGTTACTATATTACGCATGGAGGGACGATTAGTCGATAAAAAATATGTTCAGTTCCCATTCGCTATTGGCGTATATAAAACCCTTCACAACTTACTATACTCATAATGTTCTAATTATTCTTCTATAAAGCCATATCTCTACATCTGTCACCTTCTGTCTCACTAATCGACTGACTACCAATCCCTCCAAAAAGCTCACCCTCCTAGTGTTCATTAATCAGTGTAATTTCCTATGACCAGGGTGGTATGAAAGCCGTGTTGTGGACTGACAGCTTTCAGGTTATAATGATGGTCATCAGTCTCCTGGCTATCCTGATACAAGCAGCGATCATTGTCGGAGGATGGGGCTACGCCTGGGAATCTGCTGCTAGAACTAACAGAATTTGGTTCACTGAGTAAGTTGTACGGTCACTATGATATTGTTAATGCTGCATTTTATTTTTGAAGGAGGGCAACATTTTAGTAGGCGTTATTTTGGCGCATCTATCCATTTCCCCTAAAAAAATTAAGGAAAATAACTGGGTATCTTTTATAGGACGATGCAGAAACAACTCCCTGTATTTTTGAACTCTTTTTTTTTCACTAGGCAATTTTTGCGTTCAGTAGTTTGCTATTGCTTCTGAATAGTCCTTCTTGATACCATTGTACGAATCAAAGCAAGGCGGTGTCCTGCCAGATCGCATACAGCTGGAATTGAACCAGGTAACTCAGAATTGCGAAGCGCATTTGCAATGCGTTGGCCCCAAACATCGACCTATCTATTTTAACCATCTAAATTCACATTGTATTCATTTTTTCATCTAGCACATCCTTTAAAGATCTCTCTCTCTCTCTCTCTCTCTCCCTCTGTCTCTCTCTCTCTCTCTCTCTCTCTCTTTCTCTCTCTCTCTCTCTCTTCGTTGTCTAGTTTAATCTCATCTATGCGTGCACTCGTGTGTATAATATTTGATTGGGCATGATACTTATTCTCGTTTGTGTTACCACATTTTAAAATCATTAACAAAGAAATAGAAGATGGTTCAACCATTATCCGCACACTGTATGTATTCAGTTGGCTGCACTGTTATTCATTAATTGTAGAATTAATGCAACTGATACAGACAGCTTTCTGGGATTTTCCAGAAAAGAGATTTAGAATCAATAGTAAGTGAGTAGCATGTCCTTTGCAGAACCTTGCTCCCATAACAACAATCCAGAAAAATTCTCGATTACAAGTAAGATGTCCCATCTCCGATACACCCATCTGGAGATGATGGTTCAATGATTGCGGAGGGAGGGGGGGGGGGGGGTGAAATCGACGAGAAACTGCATCCCTCGTCGAGAAACTTTTGGTTATATTGTTATATATCCGCGCCATATTCATGGGCTGGAATCTGCAAGTCACCAAGTAGCCCTGAAAATAACTATTGCAGTGTTGTAAGTTGGTAAGTTTTACCTCACCACAGCATCACAACGAGTGATGAACATCTGGTGACACAAAGTGCCACCATGTGGGTGAGGATCATACATGGAGAGGTACCAGAAACCGCCTTTAATCTTAAAGCTATATTGCGACCCCCGACAAAAGCCAGGGTGGGGTGGGCCTTCAAAATAACGAAGAAGTGCATCCTATATGGGGACGACCTTAGTATTGCAGTGTCGATGCGATGATCAGACCAAACCACCTTTCGACCAGCTACCGAGCAGCATACTGGTCGCCAATAAGCCGCCCAGACGACGATGCAATCAACAAATGCTCACTAAAGAACTGATGTCAAACCAAGCAACTACTATCCAACTGGGTTGTGATCTTACATGACATGTCTCACATCTCTGCCAATTAAATTGAAGCTTTGAGAAAACCTCGTTCTGATGCCATATAGCCCTTTCTTTTACTCTATCGGTCGTCGGCCTGTTTAATCGCCACTTGTCTTCCGACACGAAAATGTGTCTCCGGTGAAGAAAAATTAAAAGTTGAAAAAAAATGAATAATACAGCCAGTGTTGATAATGTTGGCTCATTCTCGCAACTCATATTTTCCCCTGAGAATATTTTACTGTATATATATATATTATATATATATACTCTATATATAATATATATATATATATATATATATAAGAGTAGAACTATTTAGATGAAGGTATGTTGGATATTTGGAGATATATAAATATATATATATATATATAATGTGTGTGTGTGAGTACTAGAACTATAGAGTAGAACTGTTTAGATAAAGGTATGTTGGATATTTGGATATATATATATATATATATATATATATATATATATATATATATATATGTGTGTGTGTGTGTGTGAGTGTGTGTACTAGAACTATAGAGTAGAACTGTTTTAGATGAAGGTATGTGGATATTGGAGATAATATATATATATATATATATATATATATTATATATATATAATATATATATATATATATATATATATGTGTGTATGGGTGTGTGTGTGTGTGTGGGTGTGTGTTGTAGACACAATTTCCCCCCGAACTCTTATAAATAAAGTAAAGTAAAAGACCCTCTCCACGCATTCCGGGCTATTGGCCACATAGGGCTGGCTAGGCCTATGTTTTCGGCATTTAGTGGGTGATGTGGTCAGCATCACTCCGGTCGCCTTTACTTTCAGGACATGTACCTAGTACACACTCAATGCTGGCTTGACCTAGGAGCCACGGTAATTTTTTTTTAAAGAGAAAAGGACTCGAACCCACGACCTTTCTATCCGCAGGCGAACGTCTAGCCGCGACACCAGGGTCGCTCCCACCTACATATATAGGAATAATAACACATATGTTCTATTTCGATAATAATCATATTTTGTCTGAACACTATAATCAGTTTCAGTGTTGACCCTTCAGTAAGACACAGTGTGTGGTCACTTACAATTGGGGCATATTTCACCTGGGTGGCCATTTTTGGGACGAATCAGGCTATGGTGCAAAGAGCAGTCACGTGTCCAACACTAAAGAAAGCCCAAATGTAAGCATGAGTTAGTGGTCTGCTCTCATACGTTATTGATTTGTTATTGTCTTATTGTTGCTTTATATTTCAATATGTATTTTCTTTGCAGTATTACTAACATATTAAATAATAACTAATTGGCACTTATAGATACAAAAGAAAGACGTTTATAGAAGCCGTTTAATCCTCACAAACAACAAAGTCAGACAACAAACAAACTTGAAATCGCATGCAAGTGATCCGTTGGATGGCTAATTTACCATACAGGAAGTGTCTGTGAATTATGCCAGAAGTACAGTAATGTAGAGCGATTCTTGCTGGAATGTACATTGTACAGTTTGTTTCGTAATTACAGATCAAAAGGTGTTAACGGGACCTTATATTTCAAATAATACAGATTACGTAAATGTTTTAAAAATATTATTACACGACAAATAACACAGATTTGAGAATTCAGTTAACATTTTATGCCCCAAATGTAACACTTAGGGTTAAATAGAGTTTTTCTTGTGTAAACAATATTTCTGCGTAAAAACACAGAAGAATAGTCAAGATGATCCAGTTTACTGTCACCAGCTCACTCTCCCAGTGCCCTCATTCTGTTAGGGCGATAGTTCACGATTATGGAGCTGTCTTATCTTCTCGTCCCCCAACCAGTCTTTCCCAGGCTGTTAAGGGAAGTGTTTTGACATCATGTCAACTCTAATGTAAATCCAGCTGAAACACTCCCCGGAGCTGACCAGCTGGCAAGTAATGCACCCATGCAAACGGGAAGAACCTTGATCAAAGCTGATATCATCAACGCTGTGCGGACTAGGTTGAGGGGTAATGTTGAATCTCTGACGATAGCACGATTGCATGACTAAGGAGTTAAGCTTGGTGACGCACGTATGCCGTCTTCGAGGTAAAGACAGGAGACACTATAACCAACTTCTCATGGGAACAGTCAGCAGAGGTACATTGAAGTGGCTGCCGCAACGGAGGACTGTGCACGCAGAGGAATGCCCAATGTGAAAAGACGTCGATTGTGATAACATAACTTCCTAGATAATCCCGTTTCTACCTCGAAAGATAGTTATGATTATTGCACATTACGGCCCACAGTAAGTAATTAGACACAAGTGCTATACCTATAATTGTGTAGACCAGTTGGGTTCCGGAGTCCCTTTGCTATTAGATATCATTTGAATAATTCGTATATAACAATGTGACAGCGGTGTCCGTGGCTTAGACGTTGCAATTCCGACTCGTAATCCCAACGTACCGCGATCGAAACCAACTGCTGGCTACGTGGATTTTTATCATGGTAAGGGGCATCGCAAATCGACCCAGCCTAAAATAGGTACCAGGATATATGTCCTGAGGAAGTAAAGACGGCCGGCGTAATGCTGACCACATAACCCACTAAGTGCCGATTGGACTGTAAAAATATGGCTGCTCTTCCTATATTTCCGATGCGCCTAAGGCGTGAAAGGGGATTTTAACTTTTACTTTAATGTGATTGCCACCTTTCCGTCTTTCCAGACGATAGTGTTATATTGTGCTATGGGAGGCATGAGACTCACAGCCCATGACGATGGCGAATGTGACCAGTAAAACCTGCCCGCGTTAAGACAAGTCTTCCACAATGATGTCATGATATTTTAGGACCGTTGTTATCAACATTTGTATGTAGTTACAACAGTATATTACTGCAAGTTAATAAAGGGCACATACTCATCTCACTTTTTTTAAATTTAAAAATTAATTAAAATAATTAATTAACTTAATTATTTGCTATAAAGATTAACGCGTTCAACGTTAAAAAAAAAAGGTTATAAGTGAGATCGTTAGGTAAGTGAAGATTTTAACAATAAACAAATAACTTAATTCATGAAACAGTGGTATCTTTATCTGCTCAAGTGCATTACTACAGATTTTATATAATTTGGGGATCTCCGTAGCGAAACTGTCAAGCCGTTTGCCTTGCCTTATGAAAGTCGTGAGTTCTTTTTACGGACGCGTCGCTCAATTTACCGGCTCAGTTGTACGATCTCAGGGGATCGTTGTCGGTGCTACGGAATTATTTCTTTGTGCTTAGCTCTTGACAGGCGGCAAGCTGTACTGTGAAGAGAGACTAAGCTGTATGGGGTACACTATGTGCAGTAAATCACCTGAATACATAGAAATGATCAAACAAAGTAAATAATTTAACAGTGTCGTCTTCTTGAAGTCAATGCCGTGTGGCCCTGGTAGTCGGTAAACACAACTTGCTGTCTCGTGTACTCTCAATCAACTCTGACACAGATAATCTTCCACGCCATGAAATCAGACTGTCCAACATCTTTTCTCTCGCTTTCCCTCTGCCTCGTTTTCCCTCTACATTTCTTACTGTCATGATATACTACAGTTTTCTCCTTCTCATCACATGACTAAAAAAATGTAGATTGGCTCTTTCTGACCTCGGCAATCAGTTCTCTTCTTGAATTACTTTCTTTCAAAACATCTTTTTAACTCTTTTTTTTTTTTAAAGTCTGTATTTGCAGTTCTTATCATTCGTCTTCTTCGCAGCTTCCCAAAAATTGTTCACTATTCTACTAACTGTCCATGATTCACTTCCGATTATCATGATCGGTTTTATTTAGCATTTAAGAATTCTCATCTCAGCTGACAAAGAAAGATTGAACAGAATATTTTTCATTTTGTAAAACGCTGCCTTTGCGTGAAATCCTCTACATTTAATAGTGTCTAATGATCAGCTAACGATTGTACCTCATATATTATTCCCCAGTGCAATGTGGCTCAACTTTCCAGGGCTGTGCATTATTTTGTACTTAAGTTGCTTCATCGGTATATTCATGGCATCATTTTATGAGAAGTGTGATCCAATAACGACGAAATTTGTGTCCAATTCAAATGAGGTATTTATCATTATGTCAAACATGAAATTATATGCCAACTTAAGAATAGTTGCAAAATACATGCTGGTGTATGCTTTTCTAGACATGAAACGGGTAGCAAGGATTGGTATGTACGTCCCTACCTAAAAATGGGAAATGCCTGTGCGTAACTAATATCCTCTGCCAAACAAGTCATCCGTACCTTTATATGGTGCTACCTGTTGTAACAGACACGGCTATGGCGCATAGCGAGTCTCCATCGCTAACAAAGTGAGCTCCTGGTGCCTGAAGGGGTAAAATACCAGGCTATGGCTGGGGTAAGCCAGACAGAAACCCTCGGTGGAGTGTGACCCCCCACCCCCACCCCGTAAGGTGCGGCCGATGCTGGGCACACCGTTGCGTGGACATGTCCTGATCCCCACCATGGTCACACCCGGGGCGCCACCCTGGATAATCAAAGGCGGAGAAGCTAAACTCCCACAACCTCTAATTTCTGGCAGGCAGTGTTTGAATTAACCAGAAAACGGATAGGAAGACTCCGTAACTTTCCCCACCGAAGACGGACATGTCGGCCTGGATGACGTGGGCACCCAGAAATGAAAACGGAAATCAACGCAATCGACTGTTAATGAGTATGCTTAGATACCCACACCGCTATGGGGCTGCTTGTGTGGACTCCTGCCAGACGGGAACCGCTCCGGATTCTGAGCCTCGAAGGGATTCACCCCAAACTACTGATGGTAGCTCTGCACATCGGAGGATCACAATTAAGCAGAGTAAACGTCGGGCCAAAATAATACCAAAACACTAAAGATAATGCAGTGAAATGCAGAAGGGGTCACGATGAGAAAGATCGAACTGCAAAAATTCATTTATGAACAAAAGATTAATCTTGTCTGCAATCGGGAAACCCATTTAAATACAGGCTGTCGCTTTTCTGTAAGAGGCCATGAAACATAAAGGCTAGACAGATATGGACACAAAAGTTGCATCATCACATAGGTTAAAAACACTATTGCAGCTACACAAACTTCAAGAAGCATCAGTGAGTCTGAACATCTGACTATAAAACTGCATATTCTTCCTGAGCCGCTACACGTTACTAACTTTTAATGTCCCAGCAACAAGAAACTGGAACTAGAGGACATCCCAGTAGCTGATAAGAGCCACCTAAATGTTGGTGACATTAACTAACTGGGGTCATGCTTCTATAGACACAAGAAGAGAAGAGGTAGGGGAATGGATAGTAGAAAACCTGCTGAAACTAATCAATGAACCTATGAACCAACATTCTACTCTAGACGATGGCAAACACAAAGTAACCAGACCTAGCTTTAGCTACAGTAAACATCCAACGAAACGCAAAAGAGAAGTGATGAAACAGCTGGAAGGAAGTGATCATAAACTAGTCGTCGTCATGATAGGAGAGGTCAAGCTACCAGAAAACAGAAATAAGAAAGCCATCTGAAACTTCAAGAAAGCAGACTGGGACCTCTACAAAAACTTAACTGAAAAGAAGCTATCGGAGCCTTTTCCAGCTAACGAGGTTAGAAAAAACATCACAACTCCCACCAGTATCATACTCCAAGCAGCACAAAAATCAATTCTTTGAGGTCGAAGGTAAAACTATGACTCTTTCTAGACCCAATAACAGCAACAACTCCATCAAAGAAGCACTGAAGCAAGAGTAAAAATGGAACAGGATCCCTCAGACCTCAACGTTACAGAACACAATTAACATCGGGCTATATATAAAAGTAAAAGTAAAGATTCCTTTTTACGCCTTTCGGCGCATCGGGTATATGGGCAGGGCGTCCCATATTTTTACATGGCCATCTGTGGGTGTGGTCAGCATTACGCCGTCTGTCTTTACTTTCCCAGGACAGCCCATCCTGGTACCCATTTTAGGCTGGGTCGACCTGCGACGTCCCATACAATACCACGATAAAAATCCGCGCAGCCTGCAGTGGGTTTCGATCGCGGTATGCTGGCTTACGAGTCGGACTCGCAACGCCTTAGCCACGGACGCCGCTGTATATAGGGGAGGAAAACTCACATGCATCCGAAAAGATAGCAAAAAAAAAAAAGACTGCAGTCTCACAATGGAGAAAGATGGTAAAAAGCTATGGCATCTAGTAAAGAGTCTATATGAGGAGAATAATACCAGCCGTGCCCACACTGTCATTGAAACGGTGATGCTTTGTGAGTGTGTTTGTGTGTGTGTGTCTGTGTGTGTGTGTGTGTGTGTGTGTGTGTGTGTGTGTGTGTGGTTTTCAAAAGGGAGAGTGCAGCACCGTTTGTGTGATTTCCACTGTAGCAGGAAAGAAGCAAAGTATAGGGCAACCCGTCTGAAACGAAGTTAGAACCTCGGCTGTACAATTTTGAGTCCAGCATCATATGCCCGATACGCCACCCTCGTAAAAATGGCCCTTGACTTAGTACTGTAATTAGTACAAACGTACAAGTAAAAGTAGCCTACCCCTGCCTATAAACGTACTGGGGACACAGTAATAGACCTATATCTGATAGACAAATCAACAATTAGTGGATGGCGTAGTTAACATTATGTTAGCGGCCTTTACTTTCCTGAACTTTACCTGTCCATTTAAAGCTGGTTCGACTTTAGGGACAAAGTCATTATTGAGAAAAGTACTTTCCATTATCATTTGAACCCATGATCACTGGATCCGCATGCGAGCGTAGGAGAACCGTGCCAGTTTTAAAAAAAAATCTACTGTGGTGTAACTGCAGTGCTGTCCAGATAAGAATGATGGAAATTATGCCTGTCCTGTATCGAATATTACCTTATATTTTTACAACCTACATTCGAGAGAGTGACGTTCAACCTCACCAGGGCCGCACAACAAGCGATTTAACACCCCGTAACAAATAGTGCCACCATCCGGGTGAGAATCACAGAGGCACCAGTCCCAGCAACCCTTTTCAACCGTTAGGCTATATTTGAGGTCCCTGACGCAGCCGGATGATACTTTAAAATTACAAAAACATTGCCTCCCACATTTGAGCGGATATAATGATAAACAGCAATCTGGGTTTTCTGTATCTATGCTAGACTTCATTTATGCGCACAGGACTACAGTGTACACAACCTAGTCACGGCTGTCCCAGGTGTAAACCTCTTTAGAGGTTGCATATGGTATCTGGGATTTGCCTTATAGGTATGTCACTGAGACTTGTAATTTCAGGAAACAGCCTGAGATGACCCAAACTTTACAGACAGATGGATGTATCTGACTGCTTATTCACCGGCTGTAAATCCCAGTGAAAAGTTCTGGTTTTTTGTCTAATTCTGGACTTTAGCCTCGTTCTAGTATACGTACGTTTTACAGATCTGACTTACATTTTTGGAGACTCTTGGCTCCTCGCCTCTCAGGCAGACTCACTCAGATTTTGTTAGGGACGAGGTCAGTTAACCACTGCCCCCCCCCCCCCCCTCACCACCTAAATCCCTCTCTCTCGGAATCTACATTAGGTTTTTTTAACAGATGCCCACTGACTTTGAAATAAACAACCTATTTAGCTTATTTCTCACAACATGCTTGTTTAGGGGCGGGGATATATCCCCCCCCCCCTGCACCCACAATAGGACCCCAGAACCCACATTGGAATGGTTGCTAACAACAATGCATGTGTGTTTCTGCAGATCTTACCAATGTTTGTCATGGATATTTTAGGCCACGTCGTTGGCTTACCTGGCCTGTTTGTTGCCGGCTTGTTCAGTGGTGCTCTCAGGTAATTATGAACACACTTTAACTCTTGCAGTACCAAGCAATTCGCCCTGTGGGATTTTGAGTTTTACTTACATTACACATTTGTCTGAACTCTTTCTGCCACATTTAGTCGTTACATAACCCACACACAGCTCCCATTGTTACTTTACATCTTTTGTCACAGTATAAATGTCAACTAGTTTTACACAAATTTCTATTATTTAAGGTAAAAGCTCCTGGGAGATAATCGGCTAAATTATATTTCTGGTACTTAAACTTAACAATTGCTCCCATTGTTACTTTACATCTTCTGTCAAAGTATAAATGTTAACTAGTTTTCCACAAATTTCTATTATTTACGGTAAGAGCTCCTGGGAGATGATCGGCTAAATTATGCCAGCTACAGGCGAGTACGAAGATGAATTCCCAGAGGGTCACATTGATTACAGACAGAAATACAAGGCACTGAAAAAGAAATTACGGCTTCTTGTTTATGAGCAAGAATGCTTCCTTGAAGAGCTGAGAAAAGCCCAGAGAAAATTATTGAAAGTTTCCAGAGATCGGAGTTTTTTGTTGGATCGGTTGTTGCAACAAGAAAAAAATCGAGTATTTATCAGAAGAATCGGATGCAACAAATTCTACAGACACTGACGATGGAGGTGGACACCACAGAGAGGCTGGTCCTGCCAAAAAGAAAAGGCCGAGTAGCCACGTGTCTGCCTTAGGGGAATTAGCACATATGTCTCAGGCAGCAGCTAAACATATTTCAGGTACAGGTGAATCTTTTGGCAGCAAAAAGAAAACTAAAACCTCAGGAAAAAAGAGTGGCAAAGCAGGACATCTGAAATCTAGCGCTATCAAGCAAGACTCTCCAGGCCAGATGACTAGAGAAGAGTTAGAGCGCCACCTAGAATCCAAACAACATGAATTTGGAATAGAGAAAGCTACAGCCTCTTTGCCAATGGAAATATTTAGCAATGACCCTCATCATGATAGTGATGGTGGCATGGACGGGGGAGAAGAGGATGAAGATGACCTTGTGATAGATGTTCCACAACCTGCTGATGCCTGTTTTGCCGGTTCAAATTTCTGGCGACACCTACAACTGTTTGATGTCAAAATCTTTTTCTGAGGAAATAAACGTCTGGTAGATTCAGGCACAACACTTCAGGCTTAGACGCTGCCAACGGGCGTCGTAATGCCGGGGTGCCTGGTTCGATCCCAGCTGCGGGCCTTGCGGGGGAAGGGGAACAGTGTAAACGAAAGTGAATTATTTAAACAATAATTATTTAAATTTATTTTTGTCTTATTGTCTAGAATTCCATTTATTAGGACCACCAGCACGCACGTTTTTTTTTTAAATCAATCATCCTCATCGCACATCTGACAAGTCCATAAACGCTGCGATCCCATCTTCAGTATCACCCTCAGCATATGGTGACTGATAACAGCACTCATAAGTTGGTTTACTCTTTTGCTTTAGCTGTTTGTGTATGTGTGTGCACGTGTGTGTATGTGAAGAGAGGGAAAGAAAGGGAAAAGGAGAGAGCGAGAGAGAGAGAGAGAGAGAAAGAGAGAGAGAGAGAGAGAGAGAGAGAGAGAGAGAGAGAGAGAGAGAGAGACTAATAAGCTCGACCTTTCATTTTTCTCTAACAAAACAATGTTCTTCTTCCTAATGTAACTGCTTTCATCTATAAATTGAACTAATTACACACTTAAGGCGGATTTGACAATTTTGCAGCACTATCTCATCAGGACTGAACTCCATATCGGCTTGTGTGCTGGAAGACATCTGTCGGGCTTACTTTAAGTCCTATTTCAGAGAAAGCAGAGCCAGGCTACTGTCTCAATTACTTGGTTTGTTGTGAATGTATATATTTGTCAGTAGTTTATATAAGTTGAATTGTTTTTCCCATACGGGTTAAGCGTTCCAATTTTCTGAGTGTGAAAAAGAATAAACTCACTGCCCCCAACGTTGTCTAATGATGTTTCAATATACGTCACTACACACTGGGCATTCTCATGCGTGCTTGGTCCTCCGATGCAGCAGCCTTTCCATGGTTGATCAACTGATTATTCCCATGAAGTGCTGGTTATTATGTTTCCTATCTCGGTCTTAAAGGCGGCATAGACGTGCTTCGCCATTCTTTACTCTCGTGTCTTGCAATCGTGTTAGTGTTAAAGTAACCTATCTTTATTTATTCACATGTAATAACAGATCGCTTCTGACAAACTATGTTAATGACCTTTAACAGTCGCATGAAAGATGACACAAATAGGTGTTGCTGAAACTGAATGTAATAAAATGGGATGAATTCAAAAGGAGATAAGAAACATGAGAAATGTCTGCAAACAGGAGTATCAATAGTTACAACACACAGAAGATGGCGCTACATTAGACACATCCTGAGAAGAAAAAAGCAGAAAACACCAAAAAGGCATTACATTAGGCAAAAAAATGGAGTAAGGAGACGAGGACGCCCAAAAGGAACCCTAAGATGAACGTTAATGAGAGAGGACAAGGATGCTGAACTGGATTCCATCCATGATGTTGAACTGATCCCACAGGATTGAACGGAGTGGAGGAATAAACTACGAGCCCTGTGTGAATGTGTAAAAGCACAACAGGATAATGAATGGCATTGAATGTGCTGGGCCGCAAGCAACAGTTATCAAAGCCAAGCAGTAAACCGCAAAATAGCGATGCTGACGTGATGGGTAATGAACAGGCAGACAGATTGGCTGGATCCGCCCAACTGGGTGGTGAATTGATACATGTCAAGGCAGATGTGGCCAAGGCCTTATGGGAACAAGCAACGGAATCAGCAGAAAAAGAATATTATGGAGAGAATGAGGCACCTGGGTGTAACTAGAGGGTCTGGCCGGCTCACTGCACTCAGAGGAAAGGCAAGACAGACTTTTAACCAGATTCTGACCGGTACCATCAGTATTGGAACTCTGCGCTGGCTGCTGAAGATTAGGACGGAGCATGCATTGGAATGCCCCGAGTGCTGTGATGTCAATTCTTGACTCGTCTTAACTCAGTCTTCACAAGCAAGGCTGACTGCAAAAAAAAAAAAAATGATTGATAACATGCAAGACCGTAAGCTGTGGACAGACCTAAAAACAAATGTCATTTATGGGGTGGAATGTCTGGTCCTCTGTGGCGTAGTGGCCAAGCCTTTTGCCTCGCGCTATAAGGATCGAGAGTTCGTTTCACAGCGGAATCGAACAGTTCACAAATGTAATTTTTACAGAGACCCCTGAGAATCGTTGCAGAGCTACTTAGTTCGCACCTTATGTGACGCTTTCGGTTAGCCGTTTTGTGGAGAGAGAGACACAGCTATATGGAATGTTTGTTTGTTTGTTTTAGTATCCAGAAGCCATGAGTTGTTAACCCTTAGGCTCGGTATTATGGATATCGCAACATTTCGGCCTTGATTCCATTGTAAATACCGTAAATCTGGAAGAAATGTGGCTTTTCTGCCTACCCCCGGGAGTGAACCCGGACCACAAGGAGTTCGTCACCCGGTCTCCGCGCAATCCGGTTTAGCCAACTACGCTAGAGAGCCGGGCAGCTATATGGAATAAAACCAAGTGCAGTGAAGTGGATCCTCTCACTTGTAAACGTTAGCTTATAATGCCATACTATAGATAACTGGAGGGGGTGGGGTGTGATACAAAGTTCTTTCCATTTGTTTTATTCTGGTTATAAATTATTCGCCAAAAGTGATCTGAAATGTAAGTCATTAAGTAAAGTCAGATAACATTGAGTATTGTTTGTAAAATCGATTAGTCAGTAAAGGAGACTAATAATATTTTGTACAAAGAAATGTAACAATTGTTTGGTCAGAAAATTAGGTAAGGTATAACGTTATTTTATTTGGCACAAAGATTTGAAGCCATAATTACATCTATTTAAAATAGATGATTAGGTTAAGAAGTCTGGTACAATATATAAATGAGAGGGTTTCAGAATGAAAACCTTACAAACGTGATTGAAACTACAGTAATCATACCATTGTCTTGTCTTCTTCTTCTTCTTCTTCAACTTCCTCTTTTACCGCTGTGGGTGTCGAGGGAGATATAAGGTTCTGTTTCTAGCTCTTCTGGCTGCCTCGACCATAGGCACATCGTGCTGTTGTAGAGTTTCTCTGATGTTATCCTTCCATCTTGTTCTTGGTCTACCCCGTGCTCTACGTCCTTCTTCTCTTTCCATGTATGCTTTGTATGGTATGGTGTCACAAGGCATTCTCTCTCTTTTTTTTTTTTTTAACGTATCCAGAAACCATGAGTTGTAAACCCTTTGGCTCAGTACTATGGATATCGCATATCTCATTTCCGTGGTTACTAATTTTCTTTTATGGTTTGCTGTGAGTGACCATGTCTGGCACTGTAGCACAAAGTTGGAATAAATATGCTTTGAATAAGATGTCTCTTTGTGTTGATTGGGATTGTCTTATGCTGTAAGAGGGGGGCTAGCTGTTCCAATACTTGGTTTGCTTTACTGCATCTAATGTCAATTTCTTTATCCAATTTCCCATCTTCGGTAAATGTAGTTCCCAGATATTTAAACTCAGATGCCTGTTTAATGCCTTTGTATTCTATTGCTATGTTTAGATCTGTCTTCTTTTTTCCTTTTGACATTACTTCTGTCTTTTCAGTGTTGATTCTCATATTATTTGTTTTACATTCTTCAATCATGGATGTTAGATGTTGTTGCAATTTCATGGCTGTATCTGCTATCAAGGCCTGGTCATCTGCAAAGAGTAATTCGTTGATCTTACTAAGAACTTCATTCATGGGCTTGGCATTCTTGCATATACTGTCGATGTAGGTGATGAGATGTTCCCTGATTTATTCTAACTACACTTCTACAATCCCTGTATAAACTTGTGCACAATTCGATAAGGTGTTCGCTTACTCCATATCTTGCCATTATTTTCCATAATAATTGTCTGTCGACTCTGTCAAATGCCTTCTCCTGGTCTACGAATGCCACAAATAAGTTCTTATTGTATTCAATGTTCATTTCTATTAACTGTTTAAGTGTGAAGATTGCATCTGTGCAGCTTCTATTTCTCCTAAATCCAATCTGTTCTTCTGCCAGTTGTGGTTCTATCACTGGTCTCAGTCTTGTTTCTATTATCTTGGCCTACATTTTGCCAACATGGCTCAAAAGAGAGATGCCTTGATATTGACCGCATTCTCGTTTGCTTCCTTTGTTCTTCTACAATGGTATAACTATTGCATGTTGCCAATCAATAGGGGCCGTTTGTTGTACCCATGCTGCATTGAATATTCTGTGAAGCCATCTGATGCTGCTTTTACCTGCTGCTTGAATTTATTCTGTTGGTAATCTATCAGCTCCTGGTGCTTTATATTTGGGAGACTGTTTAATGACTTTTTCTATTTCATCCATTAGTATGTGTGGTTCTAACACTGTTGCTCTGTGCTCTTCAGTTGTTCTTTCCTGATGATCTCCTAGAGGATTAAAGAGCTCATTGAAGTATTCCCTCCATCTTTCTGCTATCTCGAGTGGATCTATCAATGGCCTTCCTGTCTTATCATTAATTATTTCAGTGGGGTTGTAGCTCTCATCTCTTTTCCGCATATTTTTAACTACTTTGAAAAATTTTCTGCTAGCTGTTTTCTAATTTTCTGCTAGTGACTCACCGAAACGTTCCCAGGATGCTTGTTTTGCTTTCTTGACACTCCTGTTGGTTTCTCTCCTTTGCAGTCTATAGTTTATATAATCTTCTTCTTTCTTTATTTTTATCCACTGTTTATATAAGTCTTTTTTCTTTTTAATTGCTTCTTTTACTTTTTCGCACCACCAAGGTGAATATTTGTTATTTCCCCGTCTGTTTCCACTCTTCCGTTTTCCACATAATTGTTTTGTCACCTGTCAGTATTTTTAATAAGGTTGTCAAGAGTGTTAAGCAGTGACATCATGATGCAGACGAACACGGTGACGTCATAGTGGCAGTTTAAAGATGACCACTTTTCTTTTTACCTGTGCCAAAGAGGGGCAGCTTTCTGTTTTTATCAGTGAAGGGGTTAAAGATAAAGAATTTAATTTCCAGTTGACAAACTTTTTTATTGGAAACCGTTACTTTCTCGACAAGAAGCAGAGCGTCATTGTTTCAGTTCTGGAGTAAGCTATCGTAAAACCCGCCCTACAGACACTTGGGGTATTGTTACTTATACTGGATGATGGCCCAGCTCACTAGCGTAGTTGGTTAAACCTGACTGCGCGGCGACCGGGTGACAAACTCCTTGTGGTCCGGGTTCACGGGGGTAGGCAGAAAAGCCACATTTCTCCCAGATTTACGGTATCTATCATGGAATCAAGGCCGAAGGGTTGTGGTATTCATAGTACCTAGTCAAAAGGTTTACAACTCATGGCTTCTTGATATTTAAACACAGAAATAAAGGGTGATGTGGTGGGCAGAACCTTGACTGATATTAGGATGTTCGGCAATTTCACTCACAGTCAATGGACGGTTTTTCTGTATGAGGTCTTCAATGGCTGCAGTCGACATCGGCGATGCTTCTCAATGCACCTGACCCAGCGGTGATCAGTCTGTGACAGAAGTCACCCAGTCTTGAAACTTCCTACTTCACTCATACACTTGCTGGACTGACAGGCATGCATCGCCATACTGGACCAGTATTTGCCGATACATTTTTAAAGGTTTCACCCCTTGATACTAATCAAAAGCAGAACACAGAACTCTTATTTGGTGTATGTCAAAAGGGGGGCTGCCTACTTTAAACTTTTAATATGACGTCACCGAGTTCGTCTGCACAGTGATGTTACGTGACTGACATTCATGACATTCTCAACTGCTTTAATGACATGCTACCAGACAATGCCACCATAATTATAACTTCTATCACACTTTTGAATTTTATATATTAAGTGTTTTATGTTATTCTTTATACTAAATTTAGACAATATTTGTGAAATATATTTTGTTTTCCAAAAATGTCATTGCAGCTCTTGGATTTGGAATTATTTGTCTGGCCATGACTTATGTGGCATCTTTGCTTGGAAATATTCTACAGGTAGGTTTTCATGTATAAATGAATAATTACATCATCATCATTAGCATCATCACTCAACATCAAGTACCTTGCCGACTGGCTTGGGGGAATCATGCTTATCCACAACCTGCGATCTCTGACGCTACGTACGTTCTTATACTGACACCAAGGCATGACATAAGTTAAGTAACGAACCCTTTTCCACGCCTTTCAGACGTATTGGGTATATTGGGCTAGACCTATATTTTATTGACCAAACGGCTCTTGGTTGGTGATGTGGTCAGCATCACACCGGCTGCCTTTACCTCCTAGGAGTGCGTCCGGTACCCACTCAAAGTTTGGTCGACCAAGAAGTCCGGCCCCTGTCAGGAACAGAACCCACCACCTTCCGATCCGCTGGCGAGCATCTAGCGGCTAGACCATGGCGGCTCTCTCCATGACATAAGAGGCTATCAAGAATCTTCTTGCGAAGATCTTCCTCTATGTCTCTTTCTATACATTTTACTAGTCGTCAAGTTTATTTTCAGTCTCTTTCTTGTCATAAGGTAGCCAAAATATTGTCTCTTTTTCCGCTTTTTTTGCCTGTTTTGAAACACCATTTTTGCCTCTTTAAATATTTTGAAGCAGTCTTCTTCTGTAGAAGTACATCTTAGAGACTTCAACACATTTGTTGGCTTGTTTACTAATTTCCAGTATTCGTAGCCACGTGTTGAAAACTTGGCTGGGGGTGACCGCAGTACAATATTTGAGACTTTTAGAGACACCTAAACATTACTTATAAAGCACAGAACATCACGCATAATTCTGTGAGCAGTGCAACACCAAATACACAAATTCCAAACACAACAACACCAAATACAACCGATCATGTCTGATTTGAGATGCACATAAACACCACAAAAGATTTTAATAAAAACACAGCAACCACATATGGTTACATCACAAACATAGCTTATATCACAAACATAGCTTATATCACAAACATAGCTTATATCACAAACATATCTTATATCACAAACAAAGCTTATATCACAAAAATAGCTTATATCACAAACAAAGCTTATATCACAAACATAGCTTATATCACAAACATAGCTTATATCACAAACAAAGCTTATATCACAAACAAAGCTTATATCACAAACATAGCTTATATCACAAACAAAGCTTATATCACAAACAAAGCTTATATCACAAACATAGCATATCACAAACATAGCTTATATCACAAACAAAGCTTATATCACAAACAAAGCTTATATCACAAACATAGCTTATATCACAAACAAAGCTTATATCACAAACAAAGCTTATATCACAAACAAAGCTTATATCACAAACATAGCTTATATCACAAACAAAGCTTATATCACAAACATAGCTTATATCACAAACATAGCTTATATCACAAACATAGCTTATATCACAAACAAAGCTTATATCACAAACAAAGCTTATATCACAAACAAAGCTTATATCACAAACAAAGCTTATATCACAAACATAGCTTATATCACAAACAAAGCTTATATCACAAACAAAGCTTATATCACAAACAAAGCTTATATCACAAACATAGCTTATATCACAAACATAGCTTATATCACAAACATAGCTTATATCACAAACATAGCTTATATCACAAACAAAGCTTATATCACAAACAAAGCTTATATCACAAACAAAGCTTATATCACAAACATAGCTTATATCACAAACATAGCTTATATCACAAACATAGCTTATATCACAAACATAGCTTATATCACGAACAAAGCTTATATCACAAACAAAGCTTATATCACAAACATAGCTTATATCACAAACATAGCAAGACCACGCCAGATTCGATGAGAAACCTATCAACACCACACATGAAAAACACAAAAACACTACACGTGAGAAACACAAAAACACTACACACGAAAACACTACACATAAGTAATTAGTGATTAGTAAGGATTATCATCGCAGCACTCCGGACAGATTCATAGGTGCTCTGGTCCCCTCCTGGAAAGCTCCACAGGTGTTCGTCGACTGATGACACCTGTTCTGTGATGGTTAATGTAACGTCTTGTCCCCTTAGTAAAATGTTAGTTTCTTGCAGCTCCAGGCTGCACCCCCATGTCCATCAGTCTAGACAGGGATACAGAGTCATGGCCTTTTGCGTGCTCGTCTTCGCTATAAGCGCTGCACATAGCATTGATAACATCGGTTCTGTCCGGTACTGGACCAGCCATAGCAACCGCATATAATAGCACTACATAGTGACTACATATAACAAACACGCACACACTACACATGAGAAACACAAAACACCACAAATAAGAAAAATATAAACACCACGCATGAAATCCTCAAACCTTTCACACATGAGAAACATAAAAACACCATACATAAGAGACACAAAACACCAGACATAAGAAAAATATCAACACTACGTATGAAAGAACAAAAACTTCACACATAATAAACACAAAAACACCAAACAAAAGAAATATAAAAACGCCATACATAAGAAACACAAAAACACTACACATGAGAAGAGAAAAAACACTACACAGGAGAAACACAAAAGGATAGAGATGATTTTATGAGAAACAAAACAACCACATGGAATTCTATGAGCAACACAATAACATCACTCCTGATGCTGTGAGAAACATTTTAAAAACATGAATGCAGAACAAAACTAGTACACACAGGATGCTTTGGAAAACACATCAACATCACACATTATACTATGAGAAATACAACAATACTATGAGAAATACATCAAAACATCAGATAAAACTATGAGAAATACATCAATACCACACATATTACTATAAAAAAACATTAATACCACACATAATACAATGATTTGATTTGATTTGATTTGATTCAAGAACCGACATTACAGCACTCGGGGCATTCCCATAAGCGCTCCGTCCCCATCTTCAGCAGCCAGCGAAGAGTTCCGATACTAATGGTGCCAGTAGCTTTCTGATTAAATGTCCGTCTTGCACATAATACTATGAGAAATACTTCGACATCACACATAATTCTATGAGAAATACATCAATACCACACATAATACTATGAGAGATACTTCGACATCACAAATAATTCTATGAGAAATACATCAATACCACACATAATACTATGAGAAATACACCATTACCACACATAATACTATGAGAAATACATCAATACCACACATAATACTATGAGAAATACTTCAACATCACACATAATTCTATGAGAAATACATCAATACCACACATAATACTATGAGAAATACATCAATACCACACATAATACTATGAGAAATACATCAATACCACACATAATACTATGAGAAATTCTTCGACATCACACATAATAATATGAGAAATACACCAATACCACACAAAATACTATGTGAAACACATCAATACCACACATAATACTATGAGAAACACATCAATACCACACATAATACTATGAGAAATACATCAATATCACACATAATACTATGAGAAACACATAAATACCACACATAATACTATGAGAAAAACATCAATATCACACATAATACTATGAGAAACACATCAATACCACACATAATACTATGAGAAATACATCAATACCACGCATAATACTATGAGAAACACATCAATACCACACATAATACTTTGAGAAATACATCAATACCACACATAATACTATGAGAAACACATCAATACCACACATAGTACTATGAGAAATACATCAATACCACACATAATACTATGAGAAATACATCAATATCACACATAATACTATGAGAAACACATAAATACCACACATAATACTATGAGAAAAACATCAATATCACACATAATACTATGAGAAACACATCAATACCACACATAATACTATGAGAAATACATCAATACCACACATAATACTATGAGAAATACATCAATACCACACATAATACTATGAGAAATGCATCAATACCACACATAATACTATGAGAAATACATCAATACCACACATAATACCATGAGAGGAAAAAAAAGTACATGATGCTGTGAAAAACATCAGCTCACATGATGCTATGACAGCCACATTTAGAACGGCACAAGGTGTTCATTTTTTTAGATAGCAAATGACAGTAAGTTGTATCTTTCAGGCAGCTCTGTCACTGTTTGGTATGATTGGTGGACCCCTGCTCGGCGTGTTCACACTAGGGATGTTTTTCCCCTGGGCAAACAAATGGGTAAGTATCATTATTATCATCATCATCATCATCAGTTGTGATGAGTGATTGCAGTCTAAGGTATGGATAGAACAGAATGAATATGCACAATTCTAAGAGAAATGTTTTTTTTTTCTTTAAATAATGAAAGAAAGCTTTAATGTGTAGACAGAGACTTGGATGAAATATATCAAGATAAACTTAATGTAAGTTGGAACAATTCCGTTTTCCCTGACAGTTCATGTTGTTTTGTGGTGCAATAAGGCATGGCTGTTGTGTGCGGGAAGAGAGGATGTCCCGCATATCTGGCAAAGTGTTTATTGGTGAATTAATATGCTTCCCCCATATACATATATATATATATATATATATATATATATATATATATATATATATATATATACAGGAAAGTTTCCAAGTCGAATGTCAGACTACCAATTGGGTCCCCTACCAGAGAGTGCACAGTTACAAATAGCCAAATCGTTTCACCAGCACTGATAAAAGTATCACAACAATACGTTGAAGCTCATCTCTATAACAATGCATCAGCCTCTTTATTTGACGAACGCGTTGCGACAAAGGTGAATTGGTGATTACAGAACTATTGTTCGCCTAATACTGCCCAAATACACATTAGTATACGTCCAAGGCGGCATTACTTCAAACAGCGACACCTAGCCTCGACTTGACGTGAGTCCACTACACACATACGCCTTCGGGATATAGGTCCACTCCTGGGGTCACCAGTAGCCTTTGATAAACACCTCGGCTATGTGCCCACAGTTTGGGTCACCAAAAGCCTACAATAACTCCTCGGCTATGTGCCCACAATCTGGTTCACCTATAGCCTACAATAACTCCTTGGCTATGTGCCCACAACCTGGTTCACCAATAGCCTACAATAACTCCTCGGTTATGTGCCCAGAGTTTGGGTCACCAATAAATAGCCTACAATAACTCCTCGGTTATATGCCCACAGTTTGGGTCACCAATAAATAGCCTACAATAACTCCTCGGTTATGTGCCCACAGTTTGGGTCACCAAAAGCCTACAATAACTCCTCGGTTATGTGCCCACAGTTTGGGTCACCAATAACATACAACAGTAAATATCGCTGTACATGCCAGGCTGTAAAAAGTACAGCTATCCAAAGACAAGCAAGGTTAAATATAACCAGCCATTGACACTGACCAACATATAATCAGTCAAATAAAACAATGATCAGATGAAGTGTTGGGCCACCGTAATCCACTAAATACACTCATTTGGAGCATTTCGAATGATACTCCGAATTCTAATGAAAAGTCCAAACTCTCATTTAAAAAAATTGTTCACATAATTACGAATAACGGTCACTCATGCTCGCACATATCCACTCTGTTTCATCGACCTAGAGGCACTGACTGGACACGGGTTAATCTTCAGCGACTGACCAAGCTTGGTGGGTCTCACAATACCCGTGGAGACCGCTGTTAGCCGTTAATCTAAAAAAAAACCTCGTCTCAAGCATCGTGGACTCTTTGCACTCATCTCTGTCATCATCATCATCATCTAGCGTCTTTAAGACTAGCGTAGGCGATCACGCCTCTGACCGCTGGCCCAATTGAACATCAAAGTGGTGATAACGAATGTGACCAGCAAGAGCCACTCCCTCGCTTTAGGAAACTGAAGCGTGGAATTTCAGGACCCTAGTTGTCATGGCATGTTTTTATCAGACGCTCACCTCTTAAATGTTTCAACCATTTCTCGTTCATTTCCACTTGCATTCTGATTTCATCCTCCGTGCAACGTCAGCTTGTTTTCTCCACGATTTACCTAAATTACTGAATCAGTCATGATCTGCTTGTGCGCGTCTATATATAATAGTAGAGGCCAACGTTAGCATTGTCTACCCATCTATAATTAATAATAGATGGTGTATTTAGGAGCTCTGTTAGATAAAAGAAAGTAAAATAAAATATATGATGGGGCTTCAGCCAAATTTTCTATAGAGTAGTCAGTGTAAAGGTGCTCATTACTGAAAGTGTTAACGTATGAAAATGCCTGGTACTGACAGATTTAAAGTACAACTGCCTGTTGATGGAAGAGTTGAAGGAAGTACAACTAAAGTGTTGACATGTAAAGATGCTGGTGCTGACAGACTGAAAGTACAACTGCCTGTTTATGGAAGAGTTGAAGGAAGTACAACCAAATTGTTAAAGTGTCAAGATGCTGGTGCTAACTGAAAATACAACTGCCTGTTTCTAAAGTTAAAGAAAGTTATTATTTAGTTGCGTATCCTTTACAGGACGTTGCAGAACCAACTCCAACAGCCCCTGTCTGTTGCGTGGTTTTTCTAGGCAAATTTACGTCCCAGTAGTTTGCCATTGTTTTCTGGACAAAGAAAGTAACAAGTAATTTGTTTTTAATTTTTAAAAAATTGTTGATAGCTAAATTATTGCTGATCTATGTTTGTGACAGGGTGCCTACAGTGGACTGTTTGGTAGCCTGATACTCATGTTCTGGATCGGTGTAGGGGCGGCCATTGTGCAACCCCCTTTGGAAAAAGCTATTGTGTCTGTAGAGTACTGCAACTACACAGCCTTCAACGCCTCTCTTCTTATAAAACCAGCAGTATCCAATGTTACTGTTGTCAGGTGAGAATATCATCATTAACATCATCATCAACATAATCAACATCATCATCATCGTCATCATCGCATTCATCATCTTCGTCATATGGCAGGTCCTATTTTAGAATGGTACTGGCATCACGTCACCACTTAGCCACTTAGTCCCTTGTCAGCTTTCCCCGCTTCGTGAACTTACATAGACAGGGGTTTCTTAGATATCCTAAATCCTTGGACCTACTAGTCGACCTCTGAAATCCAGGAACCATAACCGATATTACTGTTTTCTCCACAACATTAGGCCATTAACATTATCTTCAGTCAACAAATCCTTTTAAAAACGTGGCCTTTGTTAGAGCTTGCATGAAATGCTCTTTCTTCAGCCAGATCAACAGCCTTTGTGCTTTCATAGCTAGTGCATTTGATCCACAATCCTGGAGGTTTTCCTCTGGATCTTTTTCTGGAAACTGTACCTTCCATCACTGTTCTCTCCAGGCCACTATTACTTTTAACTTACCCAAAATACTTAAGCTGTAAGGACAGGATGATGTCTTTGAGCCAGTTCTCCTTGATATTCAGATCCTGTAGGATGTCAGTTTTTTTTTTTTTTTTATTCATTCTTCTTAAACCATGGTATTCTAAGAAATTTTCTGCAGCATTTTAGTTGAAAAGTTGCTTTTATTTTCTTCACTGACTGAGTAAGAGTCCATGACTGGCGTCCATAAGTTGCCACCTAACATGGCAGAAGCATTTTCGTATAAGAACCAGACTAGCAGGAACTTTGCGTCCCTATAACATATGTAAGACGTCAAAGCCCTGTGTCCTCCCACCTATGTATGGGCATTCTTTTGGTAAGCAAATATTTGTTTATATATTTCACTTTTTTCCTTCAATTTTATATATGTAAGACATTCAGCACACAAACATTTCTTTCTTTGTATTAAATGTTCTTCAAATTCAAAACGTTTCAGCCTCCTGGATCCAAATGCTGCCAGAAAAAGGTTGAGGAGGAGGGAAATTTGAAAACAGTAACGTCTGCATTACGAATCAGTGGCCTTTTTTTTTTCTGGACATTTATTTATGGTTAAATTATAAATCATTTTTTTTTTTTAATTACATATTTTACTTTGAAATGTAAAAACTACTTCTTAGTTAATTTTATCTTTACCTGTTCTTTGCTAATTTTTGACATGGACGGTGGTTTGTGTTTCATGGCTAGATGCTTGCATTCAGACCGAATATCTTGGATTTGAATCCGCATCAGATCATTTTTTTTTTTTAAAGTGACATTGGCGCCCAGCTAGACCCGACCTCAAAGGGAAGGAGTTAGAATCCTAGAAAGTAAAGGCGGCCGGTATGATGTTTGTTGACCACATCACCCATCTAGTGCTGATTGGTCAATAATAAAAAATTAATCTAGCACCATTTGTCCCATGCGTATCTGGCATTATTTGTAATATTTGATAGGATATGTTCTCATTGTCAAGCGATATACTTTCTTGAATCCACAGAGACGCTGTGTACCCCTTGTATACGCTGTCTTACATGTGGTACAGTGCAACAGCTGTGGCAGCGTGCGTTGTCATTGGTCTTATTGTCAGCTTCATCACAGGTAGAGTATTTTGTTTATCATAAAGTTGTAATTAATCCTAATGTTAACTTCAAAACAGGTAGATTATTGTTATTGCCATTTATCTTAAAGTTTTTATTGGTCTTATTATTGCCTTCATAACAGGTAGAGTATTCTTATTGCCATTTATTATAACTTTGTCACTGGTCCTGTTGTTAGCTTCATAACAGGCAAGTATTCTTGTTAACATTTATCTTCAAGTTATAATTGGTCTTATTGTCTTATTTTCACCTTCCTATTTATTCTATTGCCATTTATCATAAAGTATTAGCTTCATAACGTACAAGTATTCTTGTTAACATTTATCTTAAAGTTATAATTGGTCTTATTGTCTTATTTTCACCTTCCTGGCAGGTAGATTATTCCTATTGCCATTTATCATAAAGTTTTCATTGGTGCAGTTGTTATGTTCACAATAAGCAGCGTATTCTTATTGCTATTGATCATAGAGTTGTCATTACTGGTATAGTTAGCTTTATAACAGGCAAAACAAAGTAATGTAAAGGACGCTTTTCTTTCTTTCAAAACACCCCAGGTGCTACTAAACCGACAGAGCTTGATGCCAGAGTAATTTGTCCCATATTTGATATTCTCTTTCCGTTCTTGCCTGAATCGATAAGAAAACCTCTGCGTTTTGGAGTTGTTCATGAAGGGGTAAGTCGTTTCATAAACATATTTGCCTTTAGAAGTATTGTAAACAGCTGGTATTATCAGTTTGCTCAATGCTAAGTCTCTAAAGACTCAGATGGCTGGGTCACACCTGGAGAATGGAGAATGGTAGATTCCTTAAGGACATCCTCTGAGGGAAATTACAATGTGCTGCGTCTAGTACGATATAAAGATGTATGCAAGCCGGACATGAAAAATAAATGTACTGAGGTAAATTCGTGGCAACAAAATGCCATGGATCATGCTGCGTGGAGGAACAAATCAGGAAAGGAATTTAAATGCAGGATTAAATTATTGAAGAAAGGATGAGAGTGAGCGTCTTAGAATAAACACACTAAAAAACATATAACAACTACATCGGTCTTGAAATTCCATGCTCTGATTGTGGAAGACTTTTCTTCTCGCCGGATTCCTTGCTAGTCAGGCTTGTCATTGCCATGGGCTGTAAGTCCCATGCCATCCTCATAGTGTATTACAGCACTATTGTCTGGAAAGACGAAATGGTGAAACCAACAGTGCATGTAGTAAAACTAACATAAAAGAAATGATATGATGTCTACGTTGAATCTTAAATTCAACAAGAAGAGACAGATTTAGAAATGAGGAGAGCACGAAAACAAGCGGAGGTGGGACGAATGTGCTAAACTACACCAACAGTCAACTGTTGAAATGGGTCGGGGATGCGTTAAGGCTGCCACAGGAGAGTGCACCACAGAGAGTCCTATCGCTGAGAAATAACTAAAGAAGATATAGAGGTGGCGTATGCAAACAATGATATATATGGAGTATCTATGTATCACATACGAAGACTCGCGAGATACCTTTTAAAAATCTGACGCTGAAAGGAGAAAATTGTCTTGAGAAGAGAAGAAGTACAAGATATGCTTTTGTCGATTTGGAAACAGATATTTGGAGGTGTTCAGCAAGGGTTTAAATTTACTTTTATTGACATTGCTTTGTCTAACTGATCATCTGAGTGTTTGAAACTATTGTTAACGGGTAAGTCATTACATTGATGTATATAACTGACTCAATATTGTTTACATCTTTCCGTCTTCCCAGAAAGTAATGTTATATTGTGCCATGTGGAGGCTTGAGAATAACTGCCCATGACAATGGACCAGAGATGAAGTTCTTCTTTCCCATAGCAGAAAGCCTGGTCCTTATTGTAGAGACTATGTGTTCTCCATAAGTAATGATTCCTCCCTCCGTCTGCTTTGTTTACTCCAAATGAAAGGTAATACTAGTACGTTTGGAACAAAACACACTGTAGAAGCTGCCGGATCAGAAGAGTAGTGATCTGTCCGACTGTCAGAGTTTCACTCCCAGACTAGCAGTTAGCCAAGTTTGAGGGTCTCGTCCATTCTGCCATAACATGAAGTTTTCATTTTGCATTTTCTATTCTAGATAAGGTTAATATCCACCCCTATATTCACCGTTAACAGAAAACAAGTAGTACCAGCTATTGTTATACGGTAATGCAATCATATCTCACCAAGACCTGACACTGACCCGACTCGATAAGACTATTCTGTTTTTTTAAACTTTCTATATTTTGAATTATTTACAAAGGTATAGTAAATTACTTTTCAAAGAAAGAGAAAAGTAAACTATACCTCTGTGAGTCCGTCTCATATTTCCACTGCGTCGTTGGAGGACTTTACTTTTTCTTCTTGTACTTTACTTACTATACTTGGACTGCATTTGTTCATTTTGTTGTTTTCAGAAATATGCAGCATAACACAGCTGTCAATAATTTATTTTTATTTTCCCTCAGAAATTTGACAGGCGAGATTCCACGCTGCCTGAGAAAACGGAGAAAAAAAATGAAGATGTTACAAATGGACATGTGCCTTCAGAGAAATCTGTTGACAGTGAAAACTGGAAGAATGGAAAACATCTCACAAATGGACATGCACATTCGGGGAAAACTGCGGATGACGAGAAAACGAAGAGTGACCAAGATGTATCTTCAAAGGTGTTTGATAGCGGCAGGACTAATGGTAGAGACAATTATGGTTATGTGAACGATGCTTTAACATTAAGCAATGAAAATATTATCTCTACTCGCGTGTGATGATGCTCGGTGAAAATACTGTCAGTTAAAGATCTTCTTCATCTCCTCCTCCACCCTCCACTTCTTCTTCTTCTTCGTTTTCGTCGTCTTCTTCTTCTTCTTTTCTTCTTCTTCTTCTTCTTCTTCTTCTTCTCTTCTTCTTCTTCTTCTTCTTCTTCTTCTTCTTCTTCTTCTTCTTCTTCTTCTTCTTCTTCTTCTTTTTCTTCTTCTTCTTCTTCTTCTTCTTCTCTTCTTTTCTTCTTCTTCTTCTTCTTCTTCTTCTTCTTCTCTTCTTCTTCTTCTTCTTCTTCTTCTTCTTCTTCTTCTTCTTCTTCTTCTTCTTCTTCTTCTTCTTTTTCTTCTTCTTCTTCTTCTTCTTCTTCTTCATCGCATTCTTTTTCTTCCTGTGCTTTTCTCCTTATACGACCTTACATGACTTAGAAAGCAATGCCGATCCTTTTCATGTTGGCCCCACTTCCGGTTAGGAACATGTTTCTAGTACGGCCGTGTAGAGGTGTAGCTAAGTCTGGTGCCATGTGAGCGCTAGTCATCTAATACCACTACCTGTGGTTCAGCATCGCTTTAACCTGTGATGAATTTTAGAATCAATTGAGATGGGTTGAGCTGACTCAAGAACCGACATCTTCAGCAGCTAGCGCCGATTTCCAGTACTAACGTTGTCAGTTGTAAAATGAAATATGTTAATGCCAGCTCTCCTTTCAACCGGAGTGTTTGACCGGATCATTTGGTCCTAATCGATACTTTGGGGACCAAGTTACTTCTAGAAAATTAATGATGTTCTTCATGGTAACTTCTTCAATTAATGGGACATATTGTCTCATCTCTAATAGCCAATGCTTATTCCCGCAGAGCTATTGGAAACAAATACTTTTCACATTTTAAAATGAATAAATATTTAGGCTTTCAAGTTATTCAAGTTATATCTATAAAGCTACCGAAAGCTATAAGAAAACTTTTTTTTTTCTAATTTTACCCAATAATTGTTTTACACATGCAGATATTCCAACAAGGAAATGTTGTTTTAGTCTATTTATAAAGAAAACTTCTTATAATAATCTACTATAATAGAAGTTTGCCAAAACCTTTGAAAGATATAAATTTCAAATGTTTATATGAATATATTTGTGTGGCCCCATTAACTTAGTTACTTACTTCTTACATACTTAGTCGTCTGAGGTGTAGAGGTTTGCCAGAGAAGATATCCAGACTTCTCTGTCAGCAGTTTTCTTTTTGGCTTTGTTCTATTCTAGTCCGCTGTCAGTCAGGGAATGTCGAATGTTGTCGTCCAAGCGAATCGTGGATCTGGTTTGCTGGTTCCTGGTCTCCCATGCTTGCCATGGTGGTCGATTCTCTCCTATTCTGCATGCATGTCTAAACCATCGTAACTGTAACTGATCCACTCGAGTTTGTAAGGCATGGGTTTCAAGATCATGACCTATTGTCCGTTTGCGAACTTTGTCCCTTCTTGTCACTTGGACCATTTTTCGCAGATACCTCATTTCTGAGGCCTAAAGCTGGCATCTGTGAGCTGTTGTCCTTGCCCATGACTCGCACCCATGTGTCAGAACAGACATACGTGTAGAGCGGTAAACAGATGTGTCCTCTTGCAAATCTCTCAGTTGTTGAGAAACCTTGGCTATATTAACACACAGAAGTACTCTGGGATGCTGTGACATTTGGGAAATCTGCTTACCAAATATAGGAACAGAGAAAAATCGACTATTTTATTGTATCATGTCTCATGAACAGAGTTGTACGTTGTTGATATAATATAGGTTAGTTAGTTGCGTATCCTTTACAGGACGTTGCAAAACCAATCCCAACAGCCCCTGGCTGTTGTGTGCTTTTTCTAGGCAAATTTACGTCCAGTGGTTTGCCATTTCTGGACCGTCGGCTTTCTTGAAACTACTGTCGAAACCAACGCAAGGCGCATGGCCCGCAGCTGGGATCGAACCCGGCATCCCGGCATTACGAAGCGTTCGCATTGACTTAGCCACAGAGCCGACGATATAATTTAAGTGACTAACGTGTCCTGCGTTATGTGCTGGTATTATCATCATCATGTCGCAGGTCCTTTGCAGAACCTCGCTCTCATCATGGTCTTCCTGAAAGAAACTCGGTCTCTCGCCAGCTCTCCCGCCTCATGTACTTTCATACTCAAGGAGTCACTTATATCCTGTGCCTATTTCATGTTGGTCGGCCCCTGTCCCCCCTTCCTGGTACCATGCCTTCTGCTATAATTTTTTCCCAATCCGTCGTGGCACTTGATATGACCAAAATATTTCAGCTTTCAAGACAGGATGCTGTTTATTAGCCAATCTTTCCTGATGTATATGCTGGTTTATGCTCCTAAAATGTTGATGTATGTTTTTTAAAAGTATAATTACATTGTATGTAACTGGTTCACTACTCTTGACGTCAATTATTCATCTTATGTTGAGAGAGAGAGAGAAAGATAGAGAGAAAGGCTTTATCGTGAAAGACACACAGAGAGAGAGAGACAAAAGGAGAGTGAACGTTGTATCAGTAGGTCATGATCATCAAGTGCCTTGCTGACTGGTGTGGGCGATCATGCCCCTCCACAATCTGAAACCGCAGCTGTGTTTATCATTTCTGGTGTTTACACTCCTCCATGCAACAACAAAAGACTATCAAGAATCTTCTCACGATGTCTGCCCCCATCTCACTTTCCACAGATCTTTCCAGTGGTCACAAGGTGTTCCACTTTCCCTCCTCTCATAACATGACCACCAAAATTGATGACTGTTTCTTATGTTCGTGATAATTTATCTTCGATCCCTCGTTTCTTACATAACATTTGGGTTGCTCTTTTTAGCATCCAATGAATTGTAGGGATTCTTCAGTAAAACCACATCTCCGAGGCCTCATGAAATTGTTCACCCTGTTT